AAAAAAAAAATTAGACTCTTACTGCCCAGAGAGAAAAGGCAGTAATGGAAGGAATTACTATTCACTAGAAAATAAAAATGGACACTATTTTTGAACAGCTTATTACGAGAATATATACTGGGAACTTTACATTTTGCTATGAATTTTACATGACAGAGGCATGGAGTAGATAACATACTTCTTCAATTTGAAGACACTCATTTTTGTGTTTCTAAAATTAGTATGCGGCTTACAATCCAATACATTCATTTAATGGAATTTCTACTCTCCCTCCCCTCCAAAAAGTTGTATTAAATTGATGGTGCATCTTATAATCTATGGAGTTAGATCAGAGTTCATATGGTATTAAATGACCCCCCACTTTTAGGTAACGAAACTGAGGCTCAGAAAGAGTACTAAGTAACTTGCCTGAGGGCATATAATGAATACGGGGCTGAGCCAGGTCTTGGGGAACCATGACTCAATTCCTTGAAATCCCCTGGTCTTTCTATTTTAAGAGAAAGTAGATAATTGACTTGGAAGAAATCACCCTCAAAAATGTTTGCTAAACACTTAACTGTGTGTTTTGGTAGATACGATGTGAAGGAGTTGAAAGAGGCAGGTCAAAACTATCTGACTCACCACAGTAGAAACCGGAACTGGAGATGATTACAAACTGGAGTGATACTGGTCTCAGGATGCCCGTGGGAGCTGAACGAGGTGGCGTGGAAGTACAACAGAGATGCAAGGAGGTGCGGTGCCTCTGTCCAGAGAGATAGACAGCCCTGGGAGACACGAGCTCAGAAAGCACGAAGGGCTGCAGGACTAGGTCATCAAGGACCAGCAGGAAGACATTTATTTCATCATTATGAAGCAGCTATCTGATCAATGCGTGTTGAACGTGAGGGACTGGGAACTTTAGATAACGGCACAGTGAGTCTTAACATCCCATCCAAACTAAGAAAAATAATACTTTAAACTCTGCAGTTCCAAACCAACAAGCTAGTCAGATGAAGCCTAAAGATAAGGAGGAAAAGTGACTTTCATCTCTTCCAACATGAATCCGCAATTCTAAATCAATCATCCCCAATTTTTTTTAAGCTGTTCAAGGCTCAGCTTCGAAGGAAAAGATGAGCCTCCAGCAGAAAGCACACCGCATGCTGTTTGTCACACACCGACCTCTCAGATGCAGGTTTTCTTTCAGCTGCTTCATTTGCAAATGAGTTCCTCTAGGTGGGTCTGAAAGCTAAATTTGTCCAGAATGGGCACGAGCCAGAGCAGCAGAGAGAAGGTCTAGATACTGGCCTTTTCCCATCTGGACAACCAGCGCACTGTCCTGCCCCCCACTGCTTCTCCCAGCTCTCAGGACGACAAAACAATGTAAGGAAGATGGGAAAAGCACGGGAGGGGGGACACGAATGATGACTCTTCTAATCAAGGCACATCTGTCAACATTCACCTGCAGTCTATTAGAAAGGCTTTCTTATTTTACCAGTCTGACAACACAAGTGAGCAAGATTTTGCAAGGAGGGTCAAAGAGCCAGTTTTGACCAGATCCTTCTCACAAAATGACTTACAACCACCGCTCCTCCTGCGCACATATTACCCAGCATGCCGCCCACCAGGCACAAAGTGCACAACAGCCACTAGGTCACAAATAATAACCAGAGCTGGCAGCGGGCCCACATCATTTTCTAATCTCCAACTGCCTGCTTAACTTCTGCACTCAGATGCCTAAGAAACATCTCTAGACGTAACATGGCCAACACAGAAACTCTTCATCCACACCCTCCCCTGGCCCCCCAAACCTACGCCATCCTAAACATTTCCCACTTGGTAAAGGACTCCACCATCCACTGTGGAAACAGTGGCATCTTTGAGTCCTGCTTCCTTCAGCTACTCCCCTGCCACATTCATTCAGCAGCAACCTTGTCCACGCTACTCCAAAATCTACCTACTTCTACCTCTGCAGTCACCCTGACCCAAAACATCATCTCTCTTGCCTTCTAACTGGATTTCTCTCTCTCCCCCATCCCGGGTGCTAAGTCCGTCCCACAGAGCGGTCAAGCAATCTTGCCAGTTCTCTGTTCAAAATGCTCCAAAGCCTTCCTGGTGTCTTCAAAATAAAGCTCAGAGGCACCTGGATGGCTTAGTCAGTTGAGCGTCTGACTCTGGCTCAGGTCATGATCTCACAGTTTGTGAGTTCAAGCCCCACAAGGGGCTAGCTGCTGTCAGCCTGTCAGCACAGGGCCCGCTTCAGATCTTAATCTCCTCTCTCTGCCCCTCACCCATTCACATGCTCTCTCTCTGCCAAAAAATAGATAAAACATTAAAAAAAATTCTTTAGTAAATAAATAAAGTTCAAAGCACAAAGTCCTGTACAACCCAAGCCCAGCCCACCTTTCCATCCGTGCTTTATCGTACTCACCCCTGGTTATCTCTGTCTGCATCTGCCAATCCTCATCCCTACAGCTGACTTGTAACCAGCTATCCGGTCTTCCTTCCGTTTCTGGGGCCTGCCTCCCAGCCTTCCTCTTGCTAACCCTTGTTCTTAGAAGGCTGTCCCCAGAGCCGGATCTTCCCAAAGCTGGCGCCTCGGCATTCGGATTTCAGTTCAGGCATCTTCTCCGAAGCCTTTCTGGAACACTCTATCCAACGTTATATGCCTTAAGTCACCCTCGATCATATGCCTCTCTCTTATTTTCTTCATGGGAGCTGGGACTTTCTGTCCTATTCACTATTGTAGCTCCAGTGCCCAGCACCGGCAAGTGCCAACTATTTCCATGCATTCAACCAACATGAAAGCACCTGCTATGTGCCAGGCCCTATTCTAGGTAACAAAGACGGTGGTAAACAAGTCAGGGATCTGGTTCTCGTGGCGCCTTCTTTTCTGAAGGGAAGCTGACTAACCAATGCCAACAGGTGATATGTAGCAAGTAAAATTAAGCACAAAGGAGATGGAGTGAAGGAGGGGTATTAATTCATGTAGGGCAATCCATAACACCTTGCCAATAAGGTGGCACCGGGAAGAGACTTGAAGAAGGTAAGGAGGTAAATCAAGGTTATCGTCCTCAAACAGAGAAACAACACATGCTAGCAACCTGAGGAGAGGGCGTCAGCTGCTGAAGGAAGAGCAAGGATTCCACCGTGGAGCCTAAGGTGCAAGATGGATAGTAGCAGCAGTTAAGGCCAGAGCGGCAGTAGGGGGCTTTGCAGGCCACTGGAAGGACTTGCATTTTATACATCTGATTTGAGAAGACATGGAAGCTTCGGGATAGAGGACAGACAGGCTTGATTTATATTTCAAAAGGATCACTCCAGCTGTCTACAGAAAAGACGGAAAGGACATGAGCTGGAATGATAATGGCTTGCAATGGAGAATGAAAAGGGACCTGTTACTCTGGACATATGTCTAAAGTAGAGCAAACTAGTAGCTGGCAAGTTATGGGATGTGGGAGAAAGACAAGTCGACGATGACTCCATAACTGGTAGCTTGAGCTCCTGCAATAATGAAATCGCTCTTTACTTCTAGGGCAAAGGAAAAGGGTAACCATTTGGGGACATGTTAAATTTGAGATGCCTATTAGTCATCCGAGTGGTAATTTCAAACAGACAGTTGGATATCAGGAGACAGATCTGGACTGAAAATATGTATATTTGTATTTGAGAGTCCTCAGTTTATAGAAAGTATTTAAACCCATGAAGCTAAATGAGATCTCCTATAGCTGGAGACCGGTAGAGAAAAGGGCCTATAACTGATCCCTGGGGCACATCACAACATTTAAAGGTCACGATGATGAGGAACAAGCAGCAGAGACTAAGAAACAGTAAATTGGGGGGAGACAAGTCAGGTTATCCACATGCCAATTAATGTGCTCAAATTAATGTCAAATCTTAGTACCTGACCTGCCACTGAGTAAAGATCTAAATCACAGAATCTAGTGAATAAAGATAATCTCCGGGAAACTAATATTCCCTTGCCAGAAATACCCTGGAAAGTTTCCTTCATGCTTAAATAGCAAGGCCTTCTATTTTGGGAACAATTTCCTCTTTACTCGTCCCTTCATACATTCTACTACTACATGTCACATACTAGGTCGGGGCTAGGTGGAACGCAGATAAACAAACCCACTCTGCATCTGACCACAAACCACTCCCGCAAAGAAAAAAAAAAAAGCCTCTATTAACATAAGAAGTACTCGGCTGAATGTTGAGTAAATTGACATCCTCATGGCACCCACGTGAGTGGCAGAGGAAGGTCAGAGGGCACCTGCTCCGGGTAGAACCAGGGTGCTAATCACCGGCGTCCAAAAGATTAACAACGATCACAGAATTACCTTCCCACTGGCTCCTTCTCTGAATGCAGAGGGCAGGGAGCATAATCTTAATAGAAGAGCAAAATCAGTCCCTTCCCAATGGGCCAAAGCCACTTCTCCAACCATCCGTGCCCTAGCTCCAGACCCCTTTTTTGCCTCCACCCGCCCCCAAACCACAGGACCTCGCCCTAAACCACTGGAGCCGTCGCACTACAAATCCCACCAGGCACCGCGCGCCAACGACATGCCGGTCTACGCTCCGCCACCGCCGGGCCTCCTGGGACCTGTAGTCTCCACGCCCCTCCGCGCTGGTCAGTACCTGGAAGCGATAGAGGAAGGCTTCAGGCCAGAGGAAGAAGTAGGCCGGGCTGATGAGACCGAGTTTGCCGACCAAGGGCACCGCGACAGTGGCGGCGAACCAGTAGCGAGTGATGGCCGGGATGCTTCTGAACCAGTCCCCGATGTCCGACATCTTCACCTTTTAGGTGGCCAGGATGCGCACAGCCGCCGACTCCCAGTCCCTGGCCCCTCACGACACGGCCCGTTCAGCGAGTGGAAGGTGTCGAGGCGGAAGCCGCCCAAGTCGCCGATAAGAAGGCGGAGATCGGCGGACGTGGCGCCACCGAATTCGGACGAGCGAGGGAGCGTTCGGCGGCGAAACTTCCCCTTCCGGCGGCCGCGGAAGACGTTGACCAGAAGTCCCGCCGCTTAAAGGGCAAGCACCGATTTTACCACAGGGCCGCGGCTCCGCGGTACGGGGGAAGGACGGTATGGGGCGGGGCCAAGCGGGGAGAAGGCACAACTGGTGGGAAACAGTGGTTGCCAGGGGCAACGGCAAATACTCCAGCCAATGGCGAGGCTTAACGCCTACTACCTAGTTCAAGCCGGAGTTGTAATCCAGGTGGGTGCTCTTGGATGGTGTTTAAAAAGGAAGGAGGAAAATAAAGTACATAGTTCCTCATCTGTTCTTTCATTTGACAAATGTTTGTTGAGGGCTAAGTGCCAGGGTTCTAGGTAGGGTTCTAGACACCGAGGATCCTGCGACTATCAGAGCTGTTGTGGTACCTTCTCTCCTAGAGCTTACATTCTGATGGGGTTAGACAACTACTAATAAGTGCAAAAGATAATTTCAGAGAGTGGGAAAAAAAAGGAATAAAAAATAGGATGATGCAGTAGAGTGACGGGGTGGGAGCGGGGAAACGTGGGGAAAGATGACTACTTTAGATGAGAATGGTCAAGGAGACCTTGGATGAAGTGTCCTTTGAGCTGAACCACCCCCACCCCCCCAGGCAAGAACTGGGGAGTTTTCCTTGCAGAGAAAACAGCCACTCCTGTTAGCTTGGAATGTTAGAGGAACTGAAAGCAAAGTTATATTCTTAACTATGAATATAATTCCTCAAGCAGGATTTAATTACAAGTAGATGAGAATCCACCTTATTCTTAATCTGTAAAAAGGGAGACAAAACTGTTCCTGTTATTTTCAGATGTAAGTCCTGCAGTTTAAGACTGATTAAGCCAAAAGGGGAAAAAAAAAAAAAAAGATTGATTAAGCCATCCAGTAAAGACCACTAGAAACAAGCCTGTAGCCCAGAGTTAGTTTTATTTACTTTCTGCAGCAAGGAATACTGGACTCCAGAGGAACCTGGACCATCTCATCAAGCAAAAAAAGAATAGGGTCATTATTGGATTGCGAAGAAAGGTGAAGTAAAATTTTGGTGAAATTTAAATGAAGCAGTGTTTTGATAGGCTCAAAGCAAAGCAATGCTGTGTGTAAAAGTGTTAACATCAAGCCTAGGCCTGAGGGGCACCTGGGTGGCTCAGTAAGTTGAGCCTCCAACTTCCACTCAGGTCATGATCTCGCAGTTTGTGAGTTCGAGCCCCACATTGGGCTCACTGGTGTCAGCCTGTCTGTGCAGAGCCCACTTCAGATCCTCCGTCCCCCTCTCGCTGCCCCTCCCCTGCTAGCGCTCTCTCAAAAAATAAATATTAAAAAAAAAAAAATAGGCTTAGGTTAAATTCCAGTTAAAAAAAAAAAAAAAAAAAGCCTAGGCCTGAACTTAGAAGCAAGTCCAGGGTCCTCTTCCCTTTGAAATCTCAAATTTAGGTTAGACGTGGAATGTTGGGTCTGAAAACTCCTTATTTAAAGTTTTGCAACTAGATTGAAAATCGTGTGTCAGGATGACCCATATAGCTCAGATCCTTCAGGCCAGAATGGGATTTTCCATCCATACCAAAAAAATTTCAAACCGTGAAGTGTGTACAACAATGTATTATTTTAAAGAAGATTTTTCAGCACAACATCCCTGATGTTCATTAACAGAAACCGTATTTACAGAATAAAAAGGCACTAAGTATTCCACAGACTGATAAAAGTATACAACATTTGGAGACCTAATCGATATCAGGCATAAAGAATATATAAAGAAACCCCTCATTCATACAAAGCTGGTGGGAATATAAATTAGTACAACCTTATAAAATAATATTGATATAAAAGCTAGAGGGGCCCCTGGGTGGCTCAGTCAGTTAAGCGACCGACTCTTGATTTCGGCTCAGGTCATGATCTCATGGTTTGTGAGTTTGAGCCCTGAGTTGGGCTCTGTGCTGACAGCACGGAGCCTGCTTGGGATTCTCTCTCTCTCTCCCTTTCTCTCCCACCCACTTCTTTCTCTCTCTCTCTCACTCAAAATAAAT